ACCATCGTAGAGCCAGATGTAACCGTTGCCACGCCATTTTCAGCAAGATGAGGGGATATCAAGTGTATTCCAGGGAAATAGAAAGGGGTTTACTGATCTTTTGCCCTTGGTTATACTCGACGTTTCTGTGTGGATTTTTGATTCCTGCTCTTTTGGGGAGGTGGGTGGGTTTGTTGCTGCTGTTGGGTGCTGTTCCCGTGATGATCTTGTACTTGGCGTCCCTTTTTTTCCTATTTTTTGTGGATTTCTTTTTTTTTTTTTTTTTTTGTTTTGACCCCCCTTCCTTCTGGTTTAGTTGCGTATCTTTCTTTACCTTGGTATAAACAGCGCGAACGATGAAGCCTGCACCTTTAGACTGTATTCTTTTGTTTTTCTTCGTCTGTATAAATGATTTTTATTTATTGTTGTTGTTACTACCACTGGTATTATTATTTTTATCTTTATTATTATAACAGCTTAAGAAAAGAATGGTCAGCGCTTACATTTATTTTATAGGCGATTTGATACTGGAAATACATATTTTTCGTAAGATTATTTTCTTTTCATTACACTCTACAGACGGTAAGTTTTTCAAGGCTCACCCTCCCTAACCCACCCTCGCCTCGAGCGGTAGGCGGGTTAAAAGGGCCTCTCGGCACACTTTCATTTCTTCATTTATGTTATTAACTTATTTAGACATGTAAAACTCATCGGGGGAAAAAAGAGACGTTTATGTGGAACGGGGCAATGCAGATTTTGCCATAATAAATTCAATACATTTTTTTTTTAACTTTTCTTTTTTCATATGATGGAAACCAAGGCCTAACACAATTTATTATTATTTTTATTACTGGTATTGTTGCTATTCTGTTAATTTTTTTTCCCACAAAAAAAAAGAAGAATACGGTTAAAAAGAAGAAATCGGCAAAAAAGAAAAAGGTTGAAGTTCTCCTGTGATAGAGCTGTATAAACGGTGTGTGTATACCAATGATGGGTAAGGCCTAAGCTAAGGGAAATGTGGGAGCCGAAGAGGAGAATGGGGAGAAGAGAAATCGTAAAACTAAGTATGTATAACTTAAAGAAAGGGGCAAAAGATAACTACGAGAGAAATATTTCCAATAATCTATGCCAAAAAAAGAAATTGTGTTTATGTGGCTCCAAGTACTTTGTTGTCCGTGTTGTAAGTAATGTGGGGATCTTTAACCGCTGTAATTACATACCGACAACATCTTTGGTTCCATATTTGTTTTCTTGTTGTTATTCCTCTTTTCCTTATTTTTGATAATATAACTTCTTTTTTGTTATGCGAGTGTCTTTCTGTGCATTTTTGTTGCACAGTTTTTCCTTCGTTCATTATGTTTCCCTTTCCTTCTTTCCTTG